CATAATCCATTGATATATTTTGTTTAAAATCCAAAGTGATTGCTTTGCTTCCCTGAACATAGTGTATTGAGTTTACCAAGATGCTTCACCTCATTTTATTACGTAAGAAAAACACGTTCTTTATTATCTTTTATTAAGATAACTCCCATATTGAATTTTAGTTATATATCTCACCCATTGACCGATATTTTCGGTAAAATTTAAACTACAAGCACTGGGTCCACATATTCCGTACCTAGGGCCTTGAACAGTTTTGGTTCGATTTGACCAGTTTTTATGCATAAGACAGCACACTTCAGAGGCACTATTCATGTAAAGTTTTATCCTGATATATTAACTGACTCTTGATTTGTATACTGGAAAGTGAAGAATCAGATGGAATTTAAAATTTTGTTATATGGCAAGTATGCATGACTGTAATCTAATTTCGCCCATTTTTACTCTGTCATTCTCATGTGTGTCAGGGGAATATCACGTACCAAATTTTTTTCAATTTGTTTATTGTGTTTATTGCTGTTAATAGTTTTTAACAGTACCTTTAAAATGGGAGTGAGCGTTAACATATGATTTCATAAATTTTCACACCGTCGGTATTCTTGCAATATTTTTGTTGTCTTAGCAAAATTAGCTGGACGAATAATATGGGATATACTTCAGTTTAATAGTTAATAGTTTTCGAATATGTACCGGAATATCTGGGTTATATATTTATGAAATTGCTTAAATATATATTTATATATATACCTGACCAATGTAAAAGTTTAATGCAATAAGTCCCAACCAAATATACCATATTTCTGGACAGTCCCAGCTGACTTTAAATGTTTAGATTGGTACAAATGTGAGCTATTTTTTATAAAACCACGTGGTCGAGATTTTTTGAAATTTATAACATTATGTTAAGAGTTTAACGCTGAATATTAATGGAGCTGATCTAGATCTTGGCCTAATTCTCATATCGCTAACATGTTTGAACTTGTTTAAAGCTTATTTCAATATGGGATAGTCGAAAAAGTCTTTTCGTATTTCTAATCAAACTTCATCTAATTTTTATACATATAATTTATACAAAGTTGCTAAAGAGAGTATTATAGTTTTGTTCACATAACGGTTGTTTGTAAGTCCTAAAACTGAAAGAGTCAGATATGGGGTTATATATACCAAAGTGATCAGGGTGACGAGTAGAGTTGAAATCCGGATGTCTGTCTGTCCGTCCGTCTAAAACTATAATATAATATTTAGCAACTTTGTTGCGAGAGTATAAAGAATCAATCAATGTATCCGAATAAAATTTTTGCATGAATAGCATTAAATTGTTGAAATAACACGGAAACTAGTACGCACATTTTATCGAAAATATCTATTAATCTGTGAGATATACTATAGAAATGCGGAGAGAATCATTTTCTGATAATAGTATGCCAGTATGACAAAAATTAGTTGAATCGTATAAGTAATTCCCATATCCTAATGGAAAGATATTCGAACATTCGGCTGACTTTCTATCGCATATATTGGCCAATATGTGAACTATATCAATGAAAATGAGAGAGTATATATTTTTTATAACGGTACATGTTTGTACCTCGAATACTCCAGACCCCATATAATTAATATCAGCATCATTGATCTAATTGATCACTTCTGCCAGATGTGATTTTATGACGATTTAATGATTATTTAAATACAGTTTTCGCTGATAGGAAGTAAAATCAGTTTTAAAAAGTCTTCGCACGTTTGTGAAAAAAGTAGAGAGGTAAGGAATAAGTATATGACACTAACACAATTAAATTAGGAAAGAGAACTTCACTTATGTGTAGTGCACRGCCATTTCCGTTGAGTAGCAGTCGACTGAGCGATGGATTTAAAATACATCATATTGCATGTCACTGTTATATGTAGAAATTAATTTGTTTGTATAATTAATTTTAATAGATTTTTTGTTTTTATGAGCAGGAATGCGGAAATTGTTKAGCAGTTGCTGGTGGAATATTTCGCAATCCTGTCCTAACTACTTATCACTTTACCATAAGATCGATTATTTACCGTAAACATATATTAACGTCATTGGGAAAAGTAGAAGGAATAATGACTGGTCTCGGAACTAGTGTRCACTCATATCAAATTACGATTCAGTATTTTATTTTAGAGAGTATTATAGCTTTGTTCACATAACGGTTGTTTGTAAGTCCTMAAACTAAAAGAGTCAGATATAGGGTTATATATACCAAARTGATAGGGTGACGAGTAGAGTTGAAATCCGGATGTCTGTCTGTCTGTCCGTCCGTCCGTCTGTCCTTCCGTGCAAGCTGTAACTTGAGTACAAATTGAGATATCATGATGAAACTTGGTACACGTATTTCCTGGCTCCATAAGAAGGTTAAGTTCGAAGATGGGCAAAATCGGCCCACTGCCACGCCCACAAAATGGCGAAAACCGAACCGAACCGATAACTAAGCCATAAATAGATATTAAAATGAAATTTTCCACAAATGATGGAATTATGGAGGGGCATATTTGGACGTAATCTTTTTGGAAAAGTGGGCGTGGACCCGCCTAAGTTTTTTGTACATATCTCGGAAACTACTATAGCTATGTCAACCAAACTCTACAGAGTTGTCTCATTCAGGCATTTCCAAATACAGTTAGGAAAAAATGATGATAGCGGAATAAARCTTTACACAAATACGGCATTTGATGAGAGAGTATAAAATGTTGGGTGAAACCCGAACTTAGCCCTTCCTTACTTCTTTAAAATACTTTTGAGTTAAACTCAACATAGTGTGCGAAATTTTACTAAACTCTATTCAGTAGCTTAAGAATTTATTCCGTGTGGCACGTAATTTTTTCATTAATGTGAAAGTTTGTTAAAGTGCTTACAAAAATAAAGGGTTATTGATGTGGCTGCAAATGTTGCATATCTAAAAAAAATGTGTATTTGTCAACTGTCACGAACTAAACGATTTGCTAAGTTAAATTTGTTAAGCCCAAATTTCGATGATGTTATTTCAGCAGCCAATAAATCGATTTTCAAAGCTTTGTGAAATTTATTCCAACAAATATTACGATTTATATAAGGAGTAAATTATTTGTCCAAATTTTTCTTATACACTGAAAGAACTAATAAACGCACGCTCTATGTATTAAGCGGACATCTTAATTAATTGGGTATATTACCCGGTCCCAATATTTTTTAGTGTATTAAGGACAATCTATTAAACGGTCATATTTCTGCACAAAGATGTACATACTTTTGATAAATTAGTTACTCATTCACAGTATACTTCTTATAGTTTTGAGATCCTTTCACATTTAGTAAATTCCTTGGATAGCAAACATAATTTCTTGTGAGTCCTGATGGAATTGGAAAGCCTAAAATTCCTATATTATGTATATTGGCACTAATCTGTTATAATTACATCTAAGGAAGATCTGAACTGATTTACTCATAAAATAAACGTAATTATACAATAATAATATAACTCACGTACTTACCGTTTACGAAATTCTTTATATTAGATACGGCTTAGACGTGAAACATGAGGCGGGRGTTGGAAATAGAGATCGTCCGTTCCTGAATAACACGAAGGTTTGACTCACCCCAATAACGACAATTTTGTTTGTTGAGGATGCCATTAAACCCGAAATTCATTTTAGAATATATTTTTTCTATSAACGTGAATGACTAAGTTTTTCGAAGAATATTTGCGTAATAATCTTAGACACTTTCCAAGCATTGTACAAAAATAAAACGTGACAGGATGAAATGGCTAACCTTACTGTACTCAGTGACAAAATAATTGGAAAGTAGTAACCCAATTTGTCTTTAGTATAAAGTAATCCATACGTAATGTGGTTCTCATAATTGATAGTTTTAAAATGTTGTGGTTCAATTTCACTCTATTTATTTAAAGCAAAGTAAAATAAAGATCTGATGGATTGATGATAGATGGATTAGTATTGCTGAATAGCCAGAAGTTACAATCAGGCGAATGCAGTGGTTGAAAATGTGGCGAAATAAGCAGTATGAGATGGTGCATTATCATTAACTTTTAGAGCCTCACAAAACGACGCGTATCTCTTATTTTGACGTGTGATTTAGCGTAGATGTCACTAACAGTACTACCAACTTATAGAAACAAATTTATCTATTCGAAAAACAAGCGAAGTATAAATTAAAAATTCATCTTTCAATTTGATCACAGTAGTACGTTTCGTTACAGCTTCTCGCTAGAGTGTATAAAATGTAATACATGTTTAAGTGAGAATATTTTRTACAACTGTGATCACTTTTTATAAATACCTGGTCACTCTATGAATTGCGATAGCAGTTCGTTTCTGTAAATTGATATTGCGATAATAGTTCACAAATAAGTGGGAAATTGCGAGGTGTAGTTCCGTCATAGTGGCTTTAATTTTCGTGAGTGACGTTCTTATGATTTTTAATAATGGCAGGAAATTTATCTTAGAAAGTAAGTTGAAAAGAAATATGTATACTTTTTTTAAGTCAAAAATTTCATGGAAAACAGCGTTAACAAATTTAAAGAAGCATGTCCAAACAGGCATCCTACAGTCWATATTTTCTACGGCCGCTTAGAGGGTGGAAATACTAAAATTCTATATTTTTAAATGCAAATGTTAGAAGCATGTTTTAGTTAATTAAGTTTAATTGCTTTAAGAAGTTGCTACTGCTCAAAAAAAAAATAATTTAATTACATTTTCAATTTWATTTATTGTTAAAACTAAAATTTAAAGCTTATGTGATGATTATTTTTTGAAAACTTATGTGATGAATTTATGAAATAAATACATAAGTATATAGTACAAATGCGTTCATATTTTCGTTACGATCGCAATAGCAATATAAATTTTCAGGTATTTAAAAATAGCAATCCCTGAAATCAGGGATATTGAAATACCATAAAGACGATCATAACTAGTGGGAATAGTCCATCATTTGCAGTTACTATACAATATATTTATGTAGATGGCAAACTTACTTTGGATGACTTAATGGAACTTCCAGTATTAATTCTGGCGGATAGTCAAAATAGTCCGGATCATGGCCATTCGCTGATACAACCAAAGGTAAAATGTCCCATTCTGTCCCTCTACCTTTCCAACCCAATTTAATGCAAACCTATATAAAAAGGTAGATAAATATTCATTATTAATTATGGTATTTTAATATAAATAGTAACTCAAAAATTGTAGATCCAACCATATCACTTATAAAGTATACAAAGAAATGAATCAAAAGTTCGTGATTCAATAAAGTGTTTAAAGCTATTAAAACTTTCTATGGATTAGAATCGGCCTAATCCGTCAACCGTAAGTAGTTAAAATAACACTCCACATAATGTTTATTAATATATTCATTAATGCATAAATGGTATTAGTACAATAACACACAGTGCAGAATTGCAATTATAATCTTAGTTCAGATATTTTATGACAAATGCGGAGTTAAGTTTTACTTTGTCAAAACTGATACACAGTTCAAAAATTCTGTTATCTAAACGACATGCTATAGAGCGAATGTCTTAGGAAATTCGATGGATAAGGCATGTACTCTGAATGCAATTGTCCTCAGAAAACGTGGCATATTTCTTTAATGAAGAATAATAGGAGAAAAAGGAATAGAAAAAATAATTCGAGTTGACTCTACTTTTGCAACTATTTTCTTAAAAATCAAGTGAAGCACCGGTAACTAATAGGTTACCTTAAGAAAGCAAGCACTACTAGAAACAAGGAAGGAAAAGCCAACTTTGGGTGTAGCCGAACATTTTATACTCTATCAACTTGAGAGGATCATAGCCGGTTAAATACCTGCAGGTGTTAGCAAATTTTTAAAAATGTAGCGAAAGGATTCTACTTCATTATTTGACTGAATTTGTGAATTGTTTACAATCAATACAATTATAATAAAGGCCCACAATCGATTTTATATATTTTAGCCAAAACCACAAACTTGTACGAGTAATATGCCACATTCTAATTAAATGATTTCTGGGTTTCATCAAGGTACCTCACATATCATTACCAACCTATATTTTTGAGAATCATTTGCCAATCACTTGGGAGTGACCAGAAATGATTATTTTACATATGGCTTAAGCAACTCACCACTTCCGGTCCTAAACGAAGTATCGTCTGGGAAGCCAAAGAACATTCGTTTGAATGCAAAGCTAAAGTGAGAAGGCGAAACCCCCATTCCACAGTGTTGTGGGCTGGCTTTGGGACCCGCTAGCGGGATGCGAGATGGGGTCGATACCGAGAGTTAGAGGGAAGCGAGACGCTTTTGCAGACAGAAAAAGATAGATGCCGAAATGCATAAGTATGAAAAGCTTGACGAGCTGGCCGACAGGCGTAATGCTCGAAAATTTTACGTAAAAATGCGGCGACTAACAGAAGGTTTCAAGACTGTAGCATACTATTGTAGATCCAGAGGTTATATAGTAACCGATGCGAAGGCATACTTAAATTAAGGAGGGAACACTTCTCCAGCCTGCTGAATGGCAGTGAAAGCATAATGCCAGGAGGAGGCGAACTCTATTCTCCAATCGATGACGATGGAGCAGACGTTCAATTGCCCGACCATGAAGAAGTTCGAATAGCAATTATTCGTTTGAAGAACAACAAAGCGGCGGAGGCCGATGGATTGCCCGCCGAGAACCCAAAATTTGCGCCAGCTACCGTAAGATAAGTCTCCTTAACATCCCATAAGGCGTATTGTGTGAAAGACTAAAGCCCACAGTCAAAAAACTGATTGGACTTATCAGTGTGGCTTTAGACCTGGAAAATCAACAACTGACCAGATATTCAACATGTGACAAATCCTGGAAAAGACCCGTGGAAAGAGAATATCAAACGAGGTTTCAGACAAGACGACTCCCTATCGTGGGACTTTTTCAAAAATAGAGAAAATAATTTGAGTCTATATTAGAACCAGCACTAACTGCTACAACAATGTCAGCCTCGAAATCCAATGCAGAATATCTGTTGCCAACAAGTGCTACTTCGACAATTGAGGAATAAAGTCCTCTCTCGACGAACAAAAACCAAATTCTAYAAGTCCCTCATTATTTTCATYCTGCTAACACTTCAGCTCTGGAAGGACCTGGCCTTGCTTGGAATATCCGATTGGCGCCACGTAGCTTAAATAAGAATTGACCGGCGCCCTGTTGTTAACTCGGTAATAAACGCGTATGCGGTGTCTACGCCAAGGTTATTATTCGATTTAGCCAATTATCACACCATCGTAAGAAGTGTTAACAATATAAGTCCTATGTAAATTTAGGTTATATGGTTTCAAAGGCTTAGAAGATATTTGCATTAAACTTATTTAGGGGAGGGACCACGCCCGTTTCTTTTAAGATTTATTAACCACAGACGTTCCTCTTTAAAGTGATTCCTTGTTCTTTATTTCAATAAACGGCTAAGTTTACAGTTAATGCCGTTAGTGGGCGTGGCTGGTCCGTCTACGCCCATCTACAATATCTAACTTTTTATGAGGCATATATTAGGTTGTCATTAGGTTGTCTTGCAGTATTTTTGCGGTATTTTTATTAAATTTTCAATTGTTCATAAAATTTTTTTTGATGACTCATACCCAGCTCTTGACCGATGCTACGGCTGCTATTATCGCAATTTCTGATGCCAGGCCTTCCGGAGCGTGACGCATCTTCGACCATCTCTACACCAGAACGGAAACGTTGAAACCATCGTTGTGCGGTGGAAATGGAAACTGTATCGGGTTCATAAACTGCATAAATTTTATTGGCGCCTTGAGATGCATTTTTGCCTTTATCGTAGTAGTACTGTAAAATATGCCGTAATTTCTCTTTATTTTGATCTATGTTTGCGACGCTATAACTCACGAACGACTTAAAAGAAACGACGAACGACAGACAGCTCGGGTTTCAACATATTTTTTTTAAATTATATATTATATATATTTTGTGATAATTAACAAGTTTTGTTGTGAAAAGTGCTAAGAGTTGTGTAGAAATTGTTTAAGACTGATATTATAATTGGGTAAGTGCATATATACTAAAATATTTGTACATTATAGCATTTTTTACCGAAATATATGTTTTAATATGAATTTTATATAACAAACTCATAAAAATGTTAAATGCAAAGTTAGAACGGAATTTGGTACATTGAAGTTTCACCTGTACCGATCTACGTGCTATGAAACGGAATTAGGAACATATATCATATTTCGTTTTACTTTGTTTTGGGGTTGAAAATTGAGTTTTAATATATATTTAAATTCTTAGCCTAAAGTAAACTCAATAAWTTGTTTAAAGATCAATTTTCGTCCTATCGTTTTTTGAGGAAAAAGCTTATTTTTTGCGTATGAAGTAAACACAATTCAGAGACTTACTTTTTCTAAAGCTATGTTATATGCATTAACAAAACTTTATTTGCGATGATTCTTCATTGGTGGAATTTAAATTAGTTACAAAACAGTTTACATCAAATATTTCGGGAACTCCCTGCTTAATATTTATAAAAACATGTAGCATGAAAATAAACTTCAGTTTTTAATTTTGTGCCTAATTCCGTTCTATATGCCGCAGTTGGTAACGGTGTGTTTCTAATTACGTTTCAATTTATTTTAACGGAAATTTGAGTGCCGCCAGTATGCCAAAATATACACAGGAATCATTAAATTTAGCTCTTGGAGCAATAAAAAGCAATCGGATGACATGTTACAAGGCTTCAAAGGTATATCGTGTTCCGAAGCAAACTCTACTGGACAAAATTTAATACAAGTATTCAAAAGGCTGCCCAGGATCTCCAGCTGTGCTAACGACTGTAACAAAATATCAACTTGTAAACTGTGTTACTAATTGGTTAAGGAACTAAATCGGCCGAATTCTTTTAAAAATAATATACCAGGCAGAAAGAGGTTGCAAGGGTTTTTGAAAAGAAATCCCACAGTGAGTCTACGTGTTTCGCAATCCTTAACAGTTTCTCGTGCATCGGTAACAGAATCTTCTATAAGAAGTTGGTTTAAAAGAGTATATCAATACTTGGGAAATAAAACTTGTCTCGATGTTTAAGAAGATTCAACACGAATCTTCAACTGTGATGAGTSCGCGTTTTTTCTTTGTCCAAAAGGTCAAGCAGTTTTGACAAAACGGGGTTTCAAAGCATGTATATTCAGATCTGGCAATGATGATAAAGAATGTCATACATTATGCGTAGGAGCTTCCGCTTCCGGTAAAATGATGCCAACTTTTGCTCTCTTTCCGTACAAAAGACTTCCAACCAACATACTTTCCAAATTTCCTTCTGATTGGGCTATTGGAARGTCGGATTCAGGCTGGATGACCTGCGAAACATTTTATGAATATATAACAAATGTCTTTTATCCCTTCATCCTGAAAGAAAATATATAACTCCCAATCGTAATATTTTTGGATGGGCACACGTCACATTTGTCGCTGCATCTTATTGAATTTTGTCAAGAAGCAAGAAATCATACTTATAGCGCTTCTTCCAAACTCGACGCACTTGCTGCAACTAATGGATGTTGCAGTATTTCATAGTTTAAAAAATGACTGGAGAAAGCAAATACAAAATTGGAGAATGCTAAATAATGGACAAAGAATAAAACGGGAAGATTTCGGACCTGTTGTTCAGAAATGCATACAATCTGATATACTACAAAACGGTTTTAAGGCTTGTGGCATAATAAAATTGTAAAACCTGACATCAGAGACACATCCAATATAATCAGAGTACCAAACATAAATATCATAGAAACAAAAACACTCGAAACTAATTACGAAGAATTTTTAMAAARTTTTGAGAAAAGGTTGCCGGCTGAAAAGCTTAAACTGAATCTGAATTTCCAATACCTTTCAAAAATGCTCTTTCCTGGCCAGAGCCCCAACCAGTGAACCCGAACAAAAAATTGTCAAGAAAATATTAACCCCAACTATCGCCACTGCTCTGAATACATTGAGTATCAGCGACGCTTGGATGAAGAAAAAAAGATTAAGAAAGAAGAGATAATTTTAAAAAAGAAAGAAAATCAAGATTCAAAGGTGAAAGTAAAACGGAACATTAATAATAGTTTTAATCCAGGAGACTATGTTGTAGTGAGGTATGAAGGCGAGAAAT